GGATTTTTACTTCTTCAGCTATTTACGTTATACAGTAGCAATGAATCTAATAGTGTGACTTCTGGTTTGAAAGTATGCGCAGTTTGCCTGTTGTTAACTTAAGTTCACCCTGCGATGCCTACATTACGATAGCGAAGCGCTGTCCCGCAAAATACTGATCGGTCGGAAAACGCAGTGATGACTACTCTGCAATAGGAGGTTCCCTTTTCTTTCTGCTCGGTGAGAGATGAATGGGAATCTCCTCGCAACCGCTCGATCGTTTGATCAGCCCCCGTCCGCAACTAGTCGAACATCTGATTGGCTGTAAAATTACAACTGGAAACACTGCACTGACATGGGTTCGTCACTTACGCATCAAATTCAAAACTTTTGTGCGATAAATCTTTGATCTTTTGCTGTTTGCACAGTTCCAGAAACTATTGCTGTACAGTAGTTCACGTTAACAAGTTCTTCATTGTCAAAGCACTATTTGAGGGTCGATAGGCGGGCTATTGAGCTTATTCCAAAACAGTGTGTTGATCTCAGGCAGCAAGCTTGAAGTTTGCTGAAGCACGCGCTGGACAGTGTTGTCTTGAAGCTTGACGCTTGAAGTCTTAAAATAATATTCGCCGAAAAAAGCAAAAAATTTATTTGCGTGCAAACCTTTCGCATGACGAAGCACGGCACATGCGAGAAAAGGAAATCACAAAGAGAAGGGAATCTGCCCAGCAGTGTAACTGATGACAAAGGAGTACAAAGGAAGAAACGAGGCGAGCCATAGTTTGTCATCTAAGTAACTTACTATCAAAACGCCGCAGAAAAAAGAAACGGTAGGTAAGGTAACTCTTGTTAACACAGCTGTTACTGCAAGTGTAACCAGCATGACTGAGACTGTTAGCAATGCAGCATTAGTTTGCTTAGGAATTAGTTTTGCAACGCTGAGTTTAATTTGAGCTTAACAGTTTTCCGTTTGCGAAGTTCTTAAAATAGCTTTCCTTTTTGATGAAGTCCATCTTGATTTAACCATAACTGGATCTTGGGTGATGTTGCGAGTTCACATCTAGACATGTTTAGGTCCACTTGGCAATGGAGAAAGAGAGAGAGCGCGCGCCTTATATTTCTCCCCGGTGATTATAAACGGGACCCGTAGCGAGTTGCAAGGGTATAACCTTGATAAATTACCCAGTAATCCTTTCTCTTTTAATAATCGGACAAATGAACAGAAATTACACTATATCTTACTGGAGTAAGACGCACTGAATTGTGGGTATACCTTTGGTGGAGACATAATAACCAAGCTGCATGGCTGGCAACTTTTGAAACAATTTTTCTTTACTATGTAGTTACAGAAACTTATTCTCCAGCCTTCCTTTGCTCTCACGTGTTTTCACCTCATAAAATCTATCATGGAGGTTATATAATCTCTTCATTTAATTTATGCCTACTGGCCGACCAGTAACATGGTAAAAAGTTATACAATCCCAACAGTTATGTAAAACTGTGACATTAAATTTGATAGCAGTTTGTCAGCTGCTGAATATAGTTCACCTTGGGCTGTTAACAATCCGTAAAAAAGTGCCCCTACAAAACGATCGGTCAGCTAAATCAACGATGACAAAGGGAAGAACAACGCGAACCTTCTAGCCTCCTTATCTACGTAGTTGATCTTCAAAACGTAGCAGAAAAAATTGGGTCATGAAATTGTAAAATTGTGGCTTTAATATTAGCATCGCGTGCTTTCGCCCCATCACGTTATTTTGACTAAATCACGCGAGCGCCGGCGAGACAGAACATTCCACATGTTTCTAGCCGTCACGCTAACCCAAAGACGTAAATTTTTCTCCATGAAAAATAATAACAAAAGCCGCCCACACTGACGGCTCGAAAGATGCCTCTTGAAATCAAGCACTGTTCTAGCTGCCTCAAATATATTTAAGATCTGATGAAATATTTCAGCAGTAAAAAAGAGACTCAGTTGTCGTGACTTCTATGTAGTGCAACGTTCAGAGGCTTAGCCCGGGAGCCGGGCAGCCTTGCGACATGTCGCTAATATCATGTAGATTTCCTGTATCGAAAAAAAGTAACTCTGTAACAAGTAAAGAATGAAGTAACTGCTGGAACAGAACTTAGCTGCCAAGCAACTTATCAGTTTGAATTGTTTATCATTGCAAATATCTGAGCGTGTTAAATAATATTTTCTGGAAAGACTTCTGGCTTGTTTTAATACTTGGCCCGTTGAATGACTCATTCATCGAGCTCGCGTCATACCGTGGGTGGAGAGCGTTTTTTATTCACGCCCGGCCGGCTGTTAGGTCTTATGTCTCAGTCAGGTGCCATAAACAGTTCATGTACTGCGGTATTTAGCTCGCACCCGCACGCCACGACAAATACAGAAATGTTAGTCGTGAAACGGTTGACAAAAAGAAGGGCATGATTTAGGACCGCCTTTCTATTCCCAATATAGCAGCGACTTTATTTTTGTAAGGCTGTACGTGAAACAATAGAACAACGAAAAAACTACCACAGGAGTTCAGAAAACAATTAGATTTGAGCTTAAAATAGCTGTAAGTGACCTCAATGTAGCTAGGAGCTGACAGCGCGGTCGGGCGTGCAGTCAGCGTGTCCAAGGAGACGTCAGCAAGTTACAAACCGACTATGGCTGCTGAAGAGGGAACATCACAATCTGCTAATGAAGCCTCGGCTGACACAGCGACCAGTTCCGCAATGGTAAGGTTAATCTGATCTTATTTTTTATTCAGCTATTAAGATTACTCACTGCTCGCGCCAGAAGGCTCCCGAAGAAGAACTGATAGTCCTCCAATGAACTACTACAGTTCAATATTGCGGCTAATTAAACTTTAGAGCGTATTCATTCTTATTTCTTGGAGATGTAGTTTTGTTTCGTGGTCTGTGTTTTGCGCTGAGGTAGACAACACTTATTGGCAAGGCATGACGGCTTGCTATTGCTCACTTTGATCGCCTCGTGCCGCATGTTGTAGTGTCATCGACCTGATTATGACGGCAATTCTAGGACTGATTGAACTGTTTGATACCACATTTGTCTGAGATTTATCATTGTAATTAAAAAAAACAAGACAGAGTTTGTTTTAATTATTATGCAAAACCACCCAAAACTAACGACCGACTGAAAACCGTGCATCATGTCGAAAAGAAATGTTTTCTTGTCGAGCACGCGTTATCGGCGGAAATCAAACAAAGTTCTGCCATCAACTTTCGGTTTCGAAAGGCTTTAGAATAGCAGATATTTTATGGAGGAAATATTTCATTGAATATTCGAACTTTGGCTTTAAGTTACCCCTCTTTCACGCCCAGAAACTTAAGAACCTTCTCCAGTCTCACCGCCTCCGCCGGTTTACAAAGAGCCGGCGAAAAGGAGATGTCATCTTCGAAACAACCTCACGAAAAGTCAAATTCCTAAAGGGACGTTTTGGGCATAATTCGTGAGTTACATGACATAACTTAAAGTATATGTTCCGCGGATTTAAGGTCAAACATTAAAGAAACAAATACAGGAAACCTCTTCATTTGTACTGGATAATAAACCAAAGAATTGAGTTTATTTATCAGGCGAAGAGAAGTATAGTCTTAATTCTGCCGACAAAATGACTTCTGAGATTGGAATTGCTAGAAAAATATCGCACCTTCGAATTATTTGATTTTACGTTGGGAATATTTCATTTGTTACGATCGAAACTGTACTCCCAGAGCTCAACCCTCAACTGACCTGGCTAATCTTGACTCCTCTGGTAACTCACTTGGTTGAAGACCACATCACAGATTTCAAAACTGATTGCACTTTCCTGGTCTTTTTTTTATATAAAACGAGAGACTCTATTTGGTGTAAGGTCGGCAGAGATTCAGTATGAAAAATATTCAAGCCTAATATCTCCGACACTAATGTGTTTTCCTTTTTTCGGAAACCCCAGGCAATTCATGTGGTTTAAACAGATGATCCGTAAAGATTGCGTGAAGATAAAGTAACATACACAAAACAAACTTATAAAAAAATAACTTCAGACGATTAATGGCCACAGACTTCAATGGAGCTCCCATGTGCTTTTTTTTATCAATAAGAATCAGCCACAGACAAATGTAGCGATATTATCATGTCAGTCTTTTAACATGTAACATTGTCTTTGATGTGATAAATTTGGTGCTATACTTGCGTTTGATCTTGAGCAACAACTCGAGGTCAAACCGAAAAAAAAAAATCTGCATTTTATGTCAATTGAGATTTGAACGTATTTGTTTGCCTGACATGTCAGTTTTGAGAACACTAGTTTTACAGAGAAGCATCCTGGAAGGAACATTAAGCGCCATTTCTTTGGCTTATTAAAGACTCGCAACTTACTGTTGTGGGCTACTTTGCTGAATAGAACATAAATTCAGTTGTGAGTAGGTCGAAAACAGCTTAGTTCAATCAATGTCACTTCAGTTCTGTGTCGATCTTTCTTTAAAACATTTTCCTTGAAAATAGACTGAACCTATCGTAAACAGGCTAAGATATTATATCTGATGAAGCGGTTACATGCAGACTAGATTAAGACACGCTAAGACGAGTAGATTCAAAACTGCGCCAGTTTCGTTGGTTGGATTTTGGTTTGAGCTGATTAATAAACCACCATGTTTACTCCGCAAATAACGCAACTGTTTTTATAACTTCCTGTTTGACTGCGATCCCTGCCAGTTCAAAGGAATGCGGTAAGAATTCACACCGAAAGTTCTGAGCGGTGTTTCAGTGCGTCGCCCACAAACATGAACAAACAATTATACAGCTAACTCTGAAGTACAGAAAGTTCCAGCTCTGGTTAGCCAGGAACGCAATTAACTGAGTTTTACTTCCCATATAGCCTTGTTACAGCATTTTGTTTTTCTTCAGAGATATTCATTAAAAGTTAAATCTGTTTTCATCTTCTTTCTTTCCGAGATGATTGTCTAATATTCCCATGCACAAGATCTCATAGACCCTGCGTTTCTCATTCTCATAAAACCTATCGAAAGCCTCTCTACACAGGAATGTGCATCTATATTTTTCTTTTGGGTTTTTGTTAAACTTATTTAGCTGTTGAATTTATTCTATCTTATCAGGGAAGTTTTACGTAGCCGGAGAGTGACCTTAGATTTTAATGTGATGAGGCTTGTACTGAAGTAATAATAGATTTAGGACTAAACCTTCAAAACACTGACTGATTATAACTTGCTGTTTGACTGCGATCCCTGCTAGTTAAAAGAAACGCGGTAATGATTTACACCGAAGGTTCTGAGCGGTGTTTCAGCGCGACGCCCACAAACAATTATACAGCTAGCTCTGAAGTACAGAAAGTTCAAGCAATAGTTTGCCAGGAACCCAATTAAGAGAGTTAAATTTCCCATATAACCTTGTTACAGCATTTTGTTTTCTTCAGTGATATTCATTAACAGTTAAATCTGATGTCACCTTCCTTCTTTCGAGAGGTGATTGTCCAATATTGCCATTCACAGCAACTGGATTACTGCATGTTAGCCCATAAACCATGTGATTCTCAATCTCATAAAACCTATCGAAAGCGTCTCTACACAGGAATGTGCATTTACATTTTTCTTTTGGGTTTTTGGTAAACTTATTTAGCTGTTGAATTCGTTCTATCTTATTTGGAAAGTTTTACGTAGGCGGAGAGTGACGTTAGATCTTAATGCGATGAGGCTCATATACACTGAAGTAATAGACTTAGGACTCAACCTTCAAAACACTGACTGATTACAGTCACATTCTCTCCCTCGTTTGTAAGAAGTCTATTGAAATACTGCTTAGACCAAGAAAACACGAAAGATGAGTTTACAGTTACTAAGTTCATTGAGTAAAAGAGCGTTGGAGAGATAAAAGAAACCTGTACTCACGCCATTCATGTAATGACTTAATGATAAGGTCCTGAAAAAACTTATCAGTTTTTTTTTTCTTTTCCTGCTTTCACAATTTGAACTCTTTTTTTTTAATCTGTTCTGAGCTGTGTTGGTGCCATATTAGTTCACATCAGTATTCTTGGACTTGAAGCACTTGAGCTTCAAACATGCAAAGAGAAATAAATTGGTCATATTGGGTGTTTAATGATTTTTTTCTTCGTTACAGGTTGTTTCACTGATTCCTAAAGTTTTCTTAAAACACGACAAAGTGTTGTAAACCACACTACTGTTCGAACAATCGAGTGCAAGAGATGCGAGCATAGCTTATAGCTGACAAATTCGCTAAGAGAAGAGAAACAAACCTAGCGTGATAATATTTTATGCAGAAAATATGAGTCAAGCTTGGTAACAATGAATTTCCGGCGAGTGGGCCAGATTTGACAAGCTTGCTCGTGGGCGGTTTTTGTCCATTTCATGGATATGCGGACATAGTTCTGTTTGTCGCGCATTGCAAATTTAAAACTTCAACGAGTGACAGCTGTCCTAAGGTGGGTCTGTGATTAATTGTTGCAGGTCTTCAATGTTCCATACATGCTTATGTCCACACATCATCAGACAGGGTGTTACTGAACTGAGTCGTTCCGTATGGCTACATTCACTAAGCCGTACAATAATGTTGACCCGGGAAAGTTGCATTCCTTAGTAAGTAAATCGACTCGAGAATCTCAAATTTCCGTTTCCCCAGTTTTCAGTCCAATCTTCAATAAAATGTAAAGACGACTGGAAGATCCGATATTCAAGGCTTAGACATTATTTAAAAAACTTATATTTCTTTTAATTTTGGGGGTAAAGGAAGATAACTCTTTCAGATTCGTTTTATAGAGGGACGGATGACAAAAGCAAATATCAGACCGCTGTTTCCTTTCATTTAACCTGTTTGTCATCGTACCACGCCTTTTAGCGAAAAAAAATTGAATTATATTTCGTGTATTAAGTTTTCATGTTTTACTATAGATATTACTTACGCTAATTTGTATCTTGTTGAAGGGTTTAGCTGAAAGAAAGCAATACATGATTACGTAATTATAGTGAAACAAAATAAAAAATAAATAATGAGTGTGTGATGCGCAGTTAAAGCCGAAGGTAGAAAGAACTGGTGTTTTAATGCAATACATATAGCTTTTCATTTTAAACGCCCTACATCATCAACAAATTTCCGTTGCTGTTAACTCTATCTCAGTAAGAATCATTTAACGTTCGTGTTTTAATCATTCATGACGATGAATTTATTTATAACAACGCGACTGAATTTGTTTTAAACTGTTTACCGATACAATGGAGTAAATTCTCGTTTATTTAGAAGTAAATTTTTATACGGATTATGCCTTTACAACCACGTTTTTAAAGTGCTATTTTCAGGCTCTTTCATGTTAAACACCTTAAATCATTTGCGAATACAATACAGCAAATTCTCGTTTATTTACGCTTTGTATCTTAAATGAGGATTATGCTCAGTAATTTATAGCTTCACGACTATATGTTTAAGGTAATATTTTGTTTTTTCACTTTAAACTGCCCAGATCACAATAGAGTAAATTCTGGTTTATTTGGACGTTGTTTTTAATAAGGATTACGTGGAGTGATTTGCCCGTCCGCAAATATTTGGAGCCCGCGTGTTGACTGGAGCGACACATTCAAGANCACAACAAATGCAGACTTCGTGGGTCATGAAATTGTAAAATTGTGGCTTTAATATTAGCATCGCGTGCTTTCGCCCCATCACGTTATTTTGACTAAATCACGCGAGCGCCGGCGAGACAGAACATTCCACATGTTTCTAGCCGTCACGCTAACCCAAAGACGTAAATTTTTCTCCATGAAAAATAATAACAAAAGCCGCCCACACTGACGGCTCGAAAGATGCCTCTTGAAATCAAGCACTGTTCTAGCTGCCTCAAATATATTTAAGATCTGATGAAATATTTCAGCAGTAAAAAAGAGACTCAGTTGTCGTGACTTCTATGTAGTGCAACGTTCAGAGGCTTAGCCCGGGAGCCGGGCAGCCTTGCGACATGTCGCTAATATCATGTAGATTTCCTGTATCGAAAAAAAGTAACTCTGTAACAAGTAAAGAATGAAGTAACTGCTGGAACAGAACTTAGCTGCCAAGCAACTTATCAGTTTGAATTGTTTATCATTGCAAATATCTGAGCGTGTTAAATAATATTTTCTGGAAAGACTTCTGGCTTGTTTTAATACTTGGCCCGTTGAATGACTCATTCATCGAGCTCGCGTCATACCGTGGGTGGAGAGCGTTTTTTATTCACGCCCGGCCGGCTGTTAGGTCTTATGTCTCAGTCAGGTGCCATAAACAGTTCATGTACTGCGGTATTTAGCTCGCACCCGCACGCCACGACAAATACAGAAATGTTAGTCGTGAAACGGTTGACAAAAAGAAGGGCATGATTTAGGACCGCCTTTCTATTCCCAATATAGCAGCGACTTTATTTTTGTAAGGCTGTACGTGAAACAATAGAACAACGAAAAAACTACCACAGGAGTTCAGAAAACAATTAGATTTGAGCTTAAAATAGCTGTAAGTGACCTCAATGTAGCTAGGAGCTGACAGCGCGGTCGGGCGTGCAGTCAGCGTGTCCAAGGAGACGTCAGCAAGTTACAAACCGACTATGGCTGCTGAAGAGGGAACATCACAATCTGCTAATGAAGCCTCGGCTGACACAGCGACCAGTTCCGCAATGGTAAGGTTAATCTGATCTTATTTTTTATTCAGCTATTAAGATTACTCACTGCTCGCGCCAGAAGGCTCCCGAAGAAGAACTGATAGTCCTCCAATGAACTACTACAGTTCAATATTGCGGCTAATTAAACTTTAGAGCGTATTCATTCTTATTTCTTGGAGATGTAGTTTTGTTTCGTGGTCTGTGTTTTGCGCTGAGGTAGACAACACTTATTGGCAAGGCATGACGGCTTGCTATTGCTCACTTTGATCGCCTCGTGCCGCATGTTGTAGTGTCATCGACCTGATTATGACGGCAATTCTAGGACTGATTGAACTGTTTGATACCACATTTGTCTGAGATTTATCATTGTAATTAAAAAAAACAAGACAGAGTTTGTTTTAATTATTATGCAAAACCACCCAAAACTAACGACCGACTGAAAACCGTGCATCATGTCGAAAAGAAATGTTTTCTTGTCGAGCACGCGTTATCGGCGGAAATCAAACAAAGTTCTGCCATCAACTTTCGGTTTCGAAAGGCTTTAGAATAGCAGATATTTTATGGAGGAAATATTTCATTGAATATTCGAACTTTGGCTTTAAGTTACCCCTCTTTCACGCCCAGAAACTTAAGAACCTTCTCCAGTCTCACCGCCTCCGCCGGTTTACAAAGAGCGGGCGAAAAGGAGATGTCATCTTCGAAACAACCTCACGAAAAGTCAAATTCCTAAAGGGACGTTTTGGGCATAATTCGTGAGTTACATGACATAACTTAAAGTATATGTTCCGCGGATTTAAGGTCAAACATTAAAGAAACAAATACAGGAAACCTCTTCATTTGTACTGGATAATAAACCAAAGAATTGAGTTTATTTATCAGGCGAAGAGAAGTATAGTCTTAATTCTGCCGACAAAATGACTTCTGAGATTGGAATTGCTAGAAAAATATCGCACCTTCGAATTATTTGATTTTACGTTGGGAATATTTCATTTGTTACGATCGAAACTGTACTCCCAGAGCTCAACCCTCAACTGACCTGGCTAATCTTGACTCCTCTGGTAACTCACTTGGTTGAAGACCACATCACAGATTTCAAAACTGATTGCACTTTCCTGGTCTTTTTTTTATATAAAACGAGAGACTCTATTTGGTGTAAGGTCGGCAGAGATTCAGTATGAAAAATATTCAAGCCTAATATCTCCGACACTAATGTGTTTTCCTTTTTTCGGAAACCCCAGGCAATTCATGTGGTTTAAACAGATGATCCGTAAAGATTGCGTGAAGATAAAGTAACATACACAAAACAAACTTATAAAAAAATAACTTCAGACGATTAATGGCCACAGACTTCAATGGAGCTCCCATGTGCTTTTTTTTATCAATAAGAATCAGCCACAGACAAATGTAGCGATATTATCATGTCAGTCTTTTAACATGTAACATTGTCTTTGATGTGATAAATTTGGTGCTATACTTGCGTTTGATCTTGAGCAACAACTCGAGGTCAAACCGAAAAAAAAAAATCTGCATTTTATGTCAATTGAGATTTGAACGTATTTGTTTGCCTGACATGTCAGTTTTGAGAACACTAGTTTTACAGAGAAGCATCCTGGAAGGAACATTAAGCGCCATTTCTTTGGCTTATTAAAGACTCGCAACTTACTGTTGTGGGCTACTTTGCTGAATAGAACATAAATTCAGTTGTGAGTAGGTCGAAAACAGCTTAGTTCAATCAATGTCACTTCAGTTCTGTGTCGATCTTTCTTTAAAACATTTTCCTTGAAAATAGACTGAACCTATCGTAAACAGGCTAAGATATTATATCTGATGAAGCGGTTACATGCAGACTAGATTAAGACACGCTAAGACGAGTAGATTCAAAACTGCGCCAGTTTCGTTGGTTGGATTTTGGTTTGAGCTGATTAATAAACCACCATGTTTACTCCGCAAATAACGCAACTGTTTTTATAACTTCCTGTTTGACTGCGATCCCTGCCAGTTCAAAGGAATGCGGTAAGAATTCACACCGAAAGTTCTGAGCGGTGTTTCAGTGCGTCGCCCACAAACATGAACAAACAATTATACAGCTAACTCTGAAGTACAGAAAGTTCCAGCTCTGGTTAGCCAGGAACGCAATTAACTGAGTTTTACTTCCCATATAGCCTTGTTACAGCATTTTGTTTTTCTTCAGAGATATTCATTAAAAGTTAAATCTGTTTTCATCTTCTTTCTTTCCGAGATGATTGTCTAATATTCCCATGCACAAGATCTCATAGACCCTGCGTTTCTCATTCTCATAAAACCTATCGAAAGCCTCTCTACACAGGAATGTGCATCTATATTTTTCTTTTGGGTTTTTGTTAAACTTATTTAGCTGTTGAATTTATTCTATCTTATCAGGGAAGTTTTACGTAGCCGGAGAGTGACCTTAGATTTTAATGTGATGAGGCTTGTACTGAAGTAATAATAGATTTAGGACTAAACCTTCAAAACACTGACTGATTATAACTTGCTGTTTGACTGCGATCCCTGCTAGTTAAAAGAAACGCGGTAATGATTTACACCGAAGGTTCTGAGCGGTGTTTCAGCGCGACGCCCACAAACAATTATACAGCTAGCTCTGAAGTACAGAAAGTTCAAGCAATAGTTTGCCAGGAACCCAATTAAGAGAGTTAAATTTCCCATATAACCTTGTTACAGCATTTTGTTTTCTTCAGTGATATTCATTAACAGTTAAATCTGATGTCACCTTCCTTCTTTCGAGAGGTGATTGTCCAATATTGCCATTCACAGCAACTGGATTACTGCATGTTAGCCCATAAACCATGTGATTCTCAATCTCATAAAACCTATCGAAAGCGTCTCTACACAGGAATGTGCATTTACATTTTTCTTTTGGGTTTTTGGTAAACTTATTTAGCTGTTGAATTCGTTCTATCTTATTTGGAAAGTTTTACGTAGGCGGAGAGTGACGTTAGATCTTAATGCGATGAGGCTCATATACACTGAAGTAATAGACTTAGGACTCAACCTTCAAAACACTGACTGATTACAGTCACATTCTCTCCCTCGTTTGTAAGAAGTCTATTGAAATACTGCTTAGACCAAGAAAACACGAAAGATGAGTTTACAGTTACTAAGTTCATTGAGTAAAAGAGCGTTGGAGAGATAAAAGAAACCTGTACTCACGCCATTCATGTAATGACTTAATGATAAGGTCCTGAAAAAACTTATCAGTTTTTTTTTTCTTTTCCTGCTTTCACAATTTGAACTCTTTTTTTTTAATCTGTTCTGAGCTGTGTTGGTGCCATATTAGTTCACATCAGTATTCTTGGACTTGAAGCACTTGAGCTTCAAACATGCAAAGAGAAATAAATTGGTCATATTGGGTGTTTAATGATTTTTTTCTTCGTTACAGGTTGTTTCACTGATTCCTAAAGTTTTCTTAAAACACGACAAAGTGTTGTAAACCACACTACTGTTCGAACAATCGAGTGCAAGAGATGCGAGCATAGCTTATAGCTGACAAATTCGCTAAGAGAAGAGAAACAAACCTAGCGTGATAATATTTTATGCAGAAAATATGAGTCAAGCTTGGTAACAATGAATTTCCGGCGAGTGGGCCAGATTTGACAAGCTTGCTCGTGGGCGGTTTTTGTCCATTTCATGGATATGCGGACATAGTTCTGTTTGTCGCGCATTGCAAATTTAAAACTTCAACGAGTGACAGCTGTCCTAAGGTGGGTCTGTGATTAATTGTTGCAGGTCTTCAATGTTCCATACATGCTTATGTCCACACATCATCAGACAGGGTGTTACTGAACTGAGTCGTTCCGTATGGCTACATTCACTAAGCCGTACAATAATGTTGACCCGGGAAAGTTGCATTCCTTAGTAAGTAAATCGACTCGAGAATCTCAAATTTCCGTTTCCCCAGTTTTCAGTCCAATCTTCAATAAAATGTACAGACGACTGGAAGATCCGATATTCAAGGCTTAGACATTATTTAAAAAACTTATATTTCTTTTAATTTTGGGGGTAAAGGAAGATAACTCTTTCAGATTCGTTTTATAGAGGGACGGATGACAAAAGCAAATATCAGACCGCTGTTTCCTTTCATTTAACCTGTTTGTCATCGTACCACGCCTTTTAGCGAAAAAAAATTGAATTATATTTCGTGTATTAAGTTTTCATGTTTTACTATAGATATTACTTACGCTAATTTGTATCTTGTTGAAGGGTTTAGCTGAAAGAAAGCAATACATGATTACGTAATTATAGTGAAACAAAATAAAAAATAAATAATGAGTGTGTGATGCGCAGTTAAAGCCGAAGGTAGAAAGAACTGGTGTTTTAATGCAATACATATAGCTTTTCATTTTAAACGCCCTACATCATCAACAAATTTCCGTTGCTGTTAACTCTATCTCAGTAAGAATCATTTAACGTTCGTGTTTTAATCATTCATGACGATGAATTTATTTATAACAACGCGACTGAATTTGTTTTAAACTGTTTACCGATACAATGGAGTAAATTCTCGTTTATTTAGAAGTAAATTTTTATACGGATTATGCCTTTACAACCACGTTTTTAAAGTGCTATTTTCAGGCTCTTTCATGTTAAACACCTTAAATCATTTGCGAATACAATACAGCAAATTCTCGTTTATTTACGCTTTGTATCTTAAATGAGGATTATGCTCAGTAATTTATAGCTTCACGACTATATGTTTAAGGTAATATTTTGTTTTTTCACTTTAAACTGCCCAGATCACAATAGAGTAAATTCTGGTTTATTTGGACGTTGTTTTTAATAAGGATTACGTGGAGTGATTTGCCCGTCCGCAAATATTTGGAGCCCGCGTGTTGACTGGAGCGACACATTCAAGAACATTCCACTGTGGGAACTGACGTAACTTTCCATCGTTGCTATTATAGTATAAGTTTGCAGTTATATGTTATAAATGTAGCCAATATTCAGTTACGCCGTTAATTTAGCGGAAGATGTTTGTCGGC